TACAGAAAGTTTGCTCTGAATCGTACAATAAAAAAATGCAATAAAACTAAGACATGATTTAAATAAAAACGCTTTTAATTGCATTTATGAACAAGACATGGGCGCAGTTTCATTCGATGAATAATGAATTGTTTCATGTTTTTAAAATTAACTCGAATATTTGTTGACGTTTTAAATCTTTTATATTTCTGTATTAATTTAGGCGATATTATTAAATAAAAAATATATTTGGAGAAGCTTACTCAAATTCAGCGACCGTCATTATTTAAAAAAAATTTTGAATTTTTTTTGTGTATAGACGTACTGATTTTTTGTAAATACTGAGACGCCCATACACGATACTATCAGAATTTGAAAGCAATAACTATAATAAATTTAAAGTCTAAGTAGGTAAATTTTAATAAAACATCAGATTACGGAGAATATTTTTAAATTTTTTAAAGATTACCGGGTAGTTAAAAACTGTATGAAAGTGGGCTCATGTTATATTCTTCAAGTACTTTTACAGATATGTCCCCCGTAAAAATAATTATATAAACTTCCGCTTTTCTATTAAATAAACACCTACTCCCGTGAGGAAAAATTTATTTCTGTGATATTTTAAAATAAAAGCAATATTTCTTTCCAATCTGATTGGTTAAACTTTATATCGGTTAATATTTCTCAAATAATTTTTCAGAAAAGTATATTTTATTTTTGAAAAATTTTTTAATAAAAAAATTACATTGTACTGAGAAATGTCTAAAAATGGCGTTAAAATCAACAATTTAAAAGAAAATACTTCTTACAGTCAATTTAAATTAGTTTTGAAATACAGCGAAATGTAAGATTTAACCTATTAACTTGGAATTAAAACTAAAATAATAGCTTTAAAAAAGACTTTTCATTTTTAAAAATTAATTTTAACCCTAAGTATTGCGTTTTTTGTATAGATATATTCTTTATTATTTTTAACATTGTATTTAGTGGATACACGAAGTTGAATAGAGATCTCGGCTTCTTAAACCATATAATTAACGTCTACTGGTTCGGGTTTTGCAGAATCTGTAATAAGGAACATGTGACCTTAATTACCATTTTTATTCCTGTCTTTGAGCTTTCATTTTTATTTCATTCGTAAATTTTTTATATTTTTTTTTCGATCTCTTGATATTATTTGGCGTAATATTTTTCAGCTAAAATTAACAACACTTTCTTCTTTTCAATTATCCTATTATTTTTCCTCATCATTATATTTTTCTCTCTCTCCGTCGCTAGAAATAATATGTTTAGCTTTTTCACGAATATTTTCTTTCTCCGCTTATTTGCTTCACTCCCCTTGTTCCATATTTTCTCCCTTTCTAGTTTTAAAAAAATAAATAAATAAAATAAGATAAAATAAAATAAAATAAATAAAACAAGCATTCTCCCCACCCCCATTCCTGAAACACTCGCACTGAAGCAGCTTTTACCTTCTGTCAACTTCCTCATGAATTATCGCAAAGTTTTCGCCATATACGGATTCCAGTATTATTAACCGAAGCACGTGCAAGATAACCTTTCTGTGCGTAAGACACTGACAAGGAAAATTTGTCAAACGATAGTATGATCTCTTGTGCTCTCTCCATAAGAAAGAAAATGAAAATGAAAATGACGGGGTGGGGGGCGAACGAACTGCAGTTAAAACAACTTAAACTTGACTAAACAGATTTTCCCGTAAATTGTAAAAAGAAAAAGGTAACTCCTCAAACCTATCCAAATCATTGTAGTGAACTAACTACATAAATAAAGAAATAAAATTTATTTGCCATTTTCAATGTTTAATCGTATCTGTTACTTCAATTTTGTTATCTTTATCCTTCTCCTCGAAACACGTTTGCCTGTTTTTCCTGAGGTGACATTAAACGAGAGACTTTTATTTTTAGAGTTGTATTCTTTGTTGCGACGTTTCTCTTTTCCTGTTCTTAAATAACTCGTTCGAGTGCCGTAGAGGTTTTATCTCTCATTTCAAGATTTGAACGCTTGTAAGTTTTCTATGACGTCATGGTCAACAAGGGATTTCAGAATTACATCATCTTTCATTACTGGTATAGAAATATCTGTTGATATCTTTTTTTTTATATAGCACTAGCAGTAGAGCCCGGCGTTGCTCGGGGATGTAACAGTAAGAGATAGATCAAGTATCGACCATCATAAAGATTGAAAAATAAAATTGACAAAGATTATTATTTAAGATTGACGGACATGCATTTCTTAGTTTTTGTTTTTGTTTTTTTTTTTGTGTTTTTTTGGTTTTTACGAATTTATTGAACTGGTCAAACCCAAATTCAAACAAAAACATTGTTTTCAATCGTTATGAGTTTACCGATTGAGTAGAATTTTATTATAAACAATTGTCTTGTAAATGGAATTTTTAAAGCATTCTGAATGTAAAAATAAAGAAAAAAGTAGCAGGGTTAAGGTTAAAAATCATTGAAATAGTCAGTCTCTATAAATTTGACATATTTTTATCCCTTAGACCTTTAGCAAACATTTATTCTTCAAAATAAAGTCCATCAATCGCGAAGATCTACCAGTGATCAGCCAGCATCCGAATCTGTCCCAGATACCAATCCGCTGGCATTGAATACAAAACAAAAAAAAAACTATAAACAACTTCACTTCATCAAAATTTTGAATCGCTGGTCACTGAGGAAGTGTACCATTGAGTGGGATATGCCATGGTCACTTGGAGCAGCATCGAAACGAAATGGTGGATGTGGAATAATCTCAATACTGTCCATCTGTTTGAACTTAGTCAACCTGGCAGTTTGTGGCCTCGCATTGTCTTGCTAAAACAAAGCCCGACATCGGTTGACCAAAACAGAATACTCCTTTAGTTTGTGGTTTACGCTGTTTAGCTGCTGGCAATACAGTTTCACTTTGATGACGGGACTGTCTGGAACAAGCTCCAAATGCAATAATCCCTGGAAATCCCACCAGACAGATATCAAGATTTTTTTTTTCCTTTCTGCTTCCAAAGTGAGAGTCAGGACTTTCTGGCCAACCTAGTATTTCAGTTTTTAAATTTTGTTTTTATTGGTTTTATAGACACTACGGTATATATTGGCGTTATTGTTTATATTTGTAACAGTTCTTTAATTCTGAGTTTGTTTACTTCCAATTGGTTTATACGGTAAGAGATTTAAGTATCGAATTAGAGTCAGGCAGATTTTCAGAGTCTAAATCCCTCGGCAGATTTACAGATAATTTCACGCTTTAACTCTGTCACTACAACCCATTATCTCCGATTTTATTATACTCGCAGTCTTTCAAACATTCTAAACTAGTAACTCCAAAGCTGATAAAAGGAATGTTATTCTTTCGCGTCAAATATTGTAGCGGTGTTGTTTGGATAACTTATAGTTTGACAAGCCAGTTTCATTTACTTATATATTTATTTTGACATTTCAATTATACACACCATTTCACACGGACAGGAAATTTAGTGAAACGTTTCACAATACCTGTATTTATTTATCATTCCATTTTAAATGACCAGTAAGATTTTAAAGACTTTTTGATGTTTTGTTAGATTTATATCATTTTCTAAATGAGAAGGAAATTGTTCAAGCCAAACTCCGGATGAAGGGTTTATATAGACGGAAATAAATTCATAAAAAGAAATAAAAAATAGATAAATATATTGTAAGGCTAATATTAGCCTTTTCCTTACTAGGAAACATTTCACATTCATGGATCGAAATGTCAGTACTTCTTTCGACTGAAATTCATAGAATGTGCTAAATCTCTTAAAACAGGTTCTTATGAAAAAAGGTTTCTCAACTCTAGTAGCCGTCTTTCATGTATTGAAGAGGGTATCATTTCTAGCCTTTTGTTTTAATTAGTGTCGAATATTAACATCTTCACTCGAACAGATCTCCGATTCTTCCGTCCGAGCTGCTATATATTACACCACTTCATCCCCATATTTATTTGCACTTACATAGAACTTCAAGTTTATGTCGATCGAGAGAGAGAGAGAGAGAGAAATAGAGAGAGAGAGATAGAGAGAGAGATAGAGATAGATAGATAGATAGATAGATAGATAGATAGAGAGAGAGAGAGAGAGAGAGATAGATGCATGGAGTATTGCTGCCATATATGGGCTGGAGCACCTTCTGCCAACCTCGGAGTTCTTGACAAGATCCAGAGACGGATATGTAATCTAATTGGCCCTGATCTAGCGTCTTGTCTGCAGTCACTCTCTCACGGACGCGCCGTCGCCTCTCTCTGTCTTTTTTCACAAATACTTCCATGGTAACTGCTCTGATGTGCTGCTCTCTGGTTCCCAGACTCCATGAATTCAAGCGCCCTACGAGGCTGGCATCCCGCTCTCACCCTTACACCGTAGAAACCTTCAAATGTAGCCGTCTCTTCTACTCCAATAGCTTCATACCTCGCACCTCTCGCCAGTGGAACACCCTCCCCAATTACTGTTTCCCTGAAAGCTATAATTCCAACTATTCAAATTTAATGTCAATCGACATCTCCAATTACTTTTGATATACCCACTATCCTTCTCCTCTTCCTTTCTCCTATCACTCTTATCTGCTCTCGCTCCAAATCTTCCGCACCCCCCTGCATCCTAGTGGCTTCACGCCTTGCTTGGGGCACAATGCTTAAAAAAAAAAAAAAAGAAAAGATAGATAGATAGTGAGATAGAGAGAAATAGGTAGAGAAAGAGAGATAGATAGAGAGAGAGAAATAGATAGAGAGAGAGAGAGAGAGAGGGAGAGAAATAGATAGAGAGATAAAAACACAGAGAGAGAGAGGTCTCTTTGGTCACTTCTGCATGATGCAGACTTCATCGATCATATTTCTTTTCGATTCATGATAGATTTGACAGAAGAATTTCTGGAGTAGGCTGCGCGTAAATGAATGTCACGAATTCGACTAGAATTCAGACTCTACACTCCGATTTCTCATCCCGACAGGTTAATCCATCATACTCGTAAATCTATCCAGCACCTATATGCAGGGTTACAGCATCTGGGATTCCCAAGCGGTCACCCATCTCGTTACTGACCAATATCAACGTTTCTTAACTTCGGTGATCGAACGAGAACCGCTGTTTCAACGTGATACGACCCTGATCTCTTAAATTCTACAACTCAAACGTTATTTAGCTTACATATCCTCATGCATTTGTTCCCGTTACGCACTGACAAAAACTTCATTCGGTGACCAATACAGAAGAAGCGAGTCAGACAGACAGACAGACTGGATCGCTGAAACAGGAAGTAAAAGTATGCGTGAGGGGTAGACAGAGAGAAAGAGAGAGAGAGAAAATGGGATACAGGGAGACAAATGTCAGACATAGAGGCAAGAGTGCATAAAGAGAAAGAAAGGGAGAGAAAGTATTACAGAGTGAGATGAGGAGAGAAATAAGGAGACTCAAATAGAAATAGGGACAATGTTTGAGATAGACAGGCAGTTAAAGTGACAGAAAGAGAGGAGAGGGAGGGTAAGAAGAAATAAGAAAGAAACAGACGGAAAGAAGGACAGAAAGAGACACGACTCAATGAACCAAAGATAGTAAGAGAGACAAGTAGAAACTAAGAGAGAGTGGTAGAGAGAAAGAGCGGGAAATGCAGAGTTGGAGAAAGCAAGATACATGTAACAAAAGAAATAGTAGGGAGAATGAAAGTAATAGACAGAGAAACAGAAAAAGATGGAGATAAACATAGATATGAACAAAATGGGATAGATAGATAGATAGATATGAACAGGCTGCTGTAAGATAGATAGATAGATAGATAGATAGATAGATAGATATGAACAGGCTGTTATAAGATAGATAGATAGATAGATAGATAGATAGATAGATAGATAGATAGATAGATAGATATGAACAGGCTGTTGTAAGATAGATAGATAGATAGATAGATAGATAGATAGATAGATAGATAGATAGATAGATAGATAGATATAAACAGGCTGTTGTAAGATAGATAGATAGATAGATAGATAGATAGATAGATAGATAGATAGATAGATATGAACAGGCTGTTGTAAGATAGATAGATAGATAGATAGATAGATAGATAGATAGATAGATAGATAGATAGATAGATATGAACAGGCTGTTGTAAGATAGATAGATAGATAGATAGATAGATAGATAGATAGAGAGATAGATAGAATAAAATAATTAGATAGATAAATAGAATGAAAATAATTAGATAGAATTAAAATAATTAATTAAATAGATAGACTAAGAACAGACTAAGATATATAGATAATTATAAATTCGATAGATAGAATGAAAATAATCAATTACATAAATCTATCGATAGATAAATAGACAGACAGATACAAAGAATTAAAAACATTAGATAGATAAAATGAAAATAATTAGATAGATAGAGAGATGGATAGATAGATAGACAAAGAACAGACTACGATAGATATATCGATAACTGAAAATGAGATCGATAAATGGGAATAGCCTTAGCTAGCTAGAGAGATAAACAGACAGAAGAAATTAAAATATTTAATTAGATAGATAGATAGATAGATAGATAGATAGATAGATAGATAGATAGATAGATATGAACAGGCTGTTGTAAGATAGATAGATAGATAGATAGATAGATAGATAGATAGATATGAACAGGCTGTTGTAAGATAGATAGATAGATAGATAGATAGATAGATAGATAGATATGAACAGGCTGTTGTAAGATAGATAGATAGATAGATAGATAGATAGATAGATAGATAGATAGATATGAACAGGCTGTTGTAAGATAGATAGATAGATAGATAGATAGATAGATAGATAGATAGATAGATAGATAGATAGATAGATATGAACAGGCTGTTGTAAGATAGATAGATAGATAGATAGATAGATAGATAGATAGATAGATAAAGAACAGACTAAGATAGATGTACCGATAACTAAAAATTAGATAGATAAATGTAAATAAACTTAACTAGCTAGCTAGTTAGATAGATTAGGATGAATATAATAAAAACATAAAACATTAACATGTAATAGCACCTATCTTCTTTTTGATGGCCCGTCATCATTTTCACACCCTTTTTAGGCAGGTTACCTAATGAGTCACTCTACTCCCGTTGCATTAAGTATGTCCTGTGTGTATGAAATTCTCTAAACCCGCTTTCCTCATATGTCTGAACATGGAAACTACTTTAAAAAAAAAATCGGCATTTTCGCCTTCTACACAAAATATCCAATTATCAGGTAACAGAAATAGTTAGGGATAATATAAGAGATGTACAGGCAGTTAAATTGTTAGAGGGAGAGGGTTGGTGAGAAGCAAGAAAGACAGTAATAGACAAATAGAAAGACAGAAAGAGTTCGACACATTACACTAAAGACAGGTAGAGAGTCAATCAGGCATTAAGAGAGATTGAGTGAGAGAAAAAGACGGAGATACAGAGACGGAGGAAGCAAGAGAGATGTAACAAAAGAGTGAGAGAAAAGATAGATAGATAGATAGATAGATAGATAGATAGATAGATAGATAGATGTAAACAGATGGAAATAGAAGTGAAGATTTGCAAATGGGTACAGAGAGAAAACGAATAGATAGATAGATAGATAGATATGGAAATAGACGTGAAGATTTGCAAATGAATAGAGAGAGAAAAGGAATAGATAGATAGATAGATAGATAGATAGATAGATAGATAGATAGATAGATAGATAGATAGATCTAAATAGACGGAAATAGACGTGAATAATTTCAAATAGAGAGAAAAAAAAGGAAGAGATAGATAGATAGATAGATAGATAGATAGATAGATAGATAGATAGATAGATAGATGTAAACAAATGGAAATAGATGTGAAGATTTGCAAATAGATAGATAGATAGATAGATAGATAGATAGATAGATAGATAGATAGATAGGTAGGTGTAAATAGAGGGAAATAGACGTGAAGATTTGCAAATGGATAGAGAGAGAAAAGGAATAGATATATAGATCTAAATAGACGTAAATAGACGTGTATAATTTCAAATAGAGAGAAAAAAGAAGACATAGATAGATAGATAGATAGATAGATAGATAGATAGATAGATAGATAGATCTAAATAGAAGGAAATAGACGTGAATAATTTCAAATAGAGAGAAAAAAAAGGAAGAGATAGATAGATAGATAGATAGATAGATAGATAGATAGATAGATAGATAAAAAACAGATGGAAATAGATGTGAAGATTTGCAAATGAATAGAGAGAAAAAAGGAGAACATAGATAGATAGATAGATAGATAGATAGATAGATCTAAATAGAAGGAGATAGACGTGAATAATTTCAAATAGAGAGAAAAAAAAGGAAGAGATAGATAGATAGATAGATAGATAGATAGATAAAGAACAGACTAAGATAGATGTACCGATAACTAAAAATTAGATAGGATGAATATAAGAAAAACATAAAACATTAACATGTAATAGCACCTATCTTCTTTTTGATGGCCCGTCATCATTTCACACCCTTTTAGGCAGGTTACCCAATGAGTCACTCTACTCCCTGTTGCATTAAGTATGTCCTGTGTATGAAATTCTCTAAACCCGCTTTTCATATGTCTGAACATGGAAACTACTTAAAAAAAAAAATCGGCATTTTCGCCTTCTACACAAAAATATCCAATTATCAGGTAACAGAAATAGTTAGGGATAATATAAAGAGATGTACAGGCAGTTAAATTGTTAGAGGAGAGGGTTGGTGAGAAGCAAGAAAGACAGTAATAGACAAATAGAAAGACAGAAAGAGTTCGACACATTACACTAAAGACAGGTAGAGAGTCAATCAGGCATTAAGAGAGATTGAGTGAGAGAAAAAGACGGAGATACAGAGACGGAGGAAGCAAGAGAGATGTAACAAAAGAGTGAGAGAAAAGATAGATAGATAGATAGATAGATAGATAGATAGATAGATAGATAGATAGATAGATAGATGTAAACAGATGGAAATAGAAGTGAAGATTTGCAAATGGGTACAGAGAGAAAACGAATAGATAGATAGATAGATAGATATGGAAATAGACGTGAAGATTTGCAAATGAATAGAGAGAGAAAAGGAATAGATAGATAGATAGATAGATAGATAGATAGATAGATAGATCTAAATAGACGGAAATAGACGTGAATAATTTCAAATAGAGAGAAAAAAGGAGAGATAGATAGCTAGCTAGCTAGCTAGCTAGATAGATAGATAGATAGATAGATAGATAGATAGATAGATGTAAACAAATGGAAATAGATGTGAAGATTTGCAAATAGATAGATAGATAGATAGATAGATAGATAGATAGATAGATAGATAGATAGGTAGGTGTAAATAGAGGGAAATAGACGTGAAGATTTGCAAATGGATAGAGAGAGAAAAGGAATAGATATATAGATCTAAATAGACGTAAATAGATGCGTATAATTTCAAATAGAGAGAAAAAAGAAGACATAGATAGATAGATAGATAGATAGATAGATAGATAGATAGATAGATAGATCTAAATAGAAGGAAATAGACGTGAATAATTTCAAATAGAGAGAAAAAAAAGGAAGAGATAGATAGATAGATAGATAGATAGATAGATAGATAGATATGTGTAAACAGATGGAAATAGATGTGAAGATTTGCAAATGAATAGAGAGAAAAAAGGAGAACATAGATAGATAGATAGATAGATAGATAGATCTAAATAGAAGGAGATAGACGTGAATAATTTCAAATAGAGAGAAAAAAAAGGAAGAGATAGATAGATAGATAGATAGATAGATAAAGAACAGACTAAGATAGATGTACCGATAACTAAAAATTAGATAGGATGAATATAAGAAAAACATAAAACATTAACATGTAATAGCACCTATCTTCTTTTTGATGGCCCGTCATCATTTCACACCCTTTTAGGCAGGTTACCCAATGAGTCACTCTACTCCCGTTGCATTAAGTATGTCCTGTGTGTATGAAATTCTCTAAACCCGCTTTCCTCATATGTCTGAACATGGAAACTACTTTAAAAAAAAAATCGGCATTTTCGCCATCTACACAAAATATCCAATTATCAGGTAACAGAAATAGTTAGGGATAATATAAGAGATGTGCAGGCAGTTCAATTGTTAGAGGGAGAGGGTTGGTGAGAAGCAAGAAAGACAGGAATAGACAAATAGAAAGACAGAAAGAGTTCGACACATTACACTAAAGACAGGTAGAGAGTCAATCAGGCATTAAGAGAGATTGAGTGAGAGAAAAAGACGGAGATACAGAGACGGAGGAAGCAAGAGAGATGTAACAAAAGAGTGAGAGAAAAGATAGATAGATAGATAGATAGATAGATAGATAGATAGATAGATAGATAGATAGATAAATAGATAGATAGATGTAAACAGATGGAAATAGAAGTGAAGATTTGCAAATGGGTACAGAGAGAAAACGAATAGATAGATAGATAGATAGATATGGAAATAGACGTGAAGATTTGCAAATGAATAGAGAGAGAAAAGGAATAGATAGATAGATAGATAGATAGATAGATAGATAGATAGATAGATAGATAGATAGATCTAAATAGACGGAAATAGACGTGAATAATTTCAAATAGAGAGAAAAAAGGAAGAGATAGATAGCTAGCTAGCTAGCTAGCTAGATAGATAGATAGATAGATAGATAGATAGATAGATAGATGTAAACAAATGGAAATAGATGTGAAGATTTGCAAAAATAGATAGATAGATAGATAGATAGATAGATAGATAGATAGATAGATAGATAGGTGTAAATAGAGGAAATAGACGTGAAGATTTGCAAATGGATAAAGAGAAAAGGAATAGATATATAGATCTAAACGGGAAGATTTGTAAATAGATGTGTATAATTTAAAGAGAGAAAAGGAAAGACATAGATAGATAGATAGATAGATAGATAGATAAATAGATAGATAGGTCTAAATAGAAGGAAATAGACGTGAATAATTTCAAATAGAGAGAAAAAAAAATAGATAGATAGATAGATAGATAGATAGATAGATAGATAGATAGATAGATAGAGATGTAAACAAATGGAAATAGATGTGAAGATTTTCAAATAGATAGAGAGAAAAAAGATAGAAGATAGATAGATAGATAGATGATAGGTAGATGGTGTAAATAGAGGAAATAGATAGAAGATTTGCAAATGGATAGAGAGATAAAGGAATAGATATATAGATCTAAATAGACGTAAATAGATGTGTATAATTTCAAAAGAGAAAAAAAAGAAGACATAGATAGATAGATAGATAGATAGATAGATAGATAGATAGATAGATAGATAGATAGATCTAAATAGAAGGAAATAGACGTGAATAATTTCAAATAGAGAAAAAAAAAGGAAGAGATAGATAGATAGATAGATAGATAGATAGATAGATAGATAGATAGATATGTAAAACAGATGGAAATAGATGTGAAGATTTGCAAATGAATAGAGAGAAAAAAAGAGAACATAGATAGATAGAGATAGATAGATAGATAGATCTAGAAGGAGATAGACGTGAATAATTTCAAATAGAGAGAAAAAAAAAATAGAAGATAGATAGATAGATAGATAGAATCACCGAAAGATAGATAGATGTACCGATAACTAAAATTAGATAGGATGAATATAAGAAAACATAAAACATTAATATGTAATAGCACCTATCTTCTTTTGATGGCCGTCATCATTTCACACCCTTTGGGCAGGTTACCCAATAGTCACTCTACCCCGTTGCATAAAGTATGTCCTGTGTGTATGAAATCAAAACCCGCTTTCCTCCATATGTCTGAACATGGAAAACTACTTAAAAAAAATCGGCATTTTCGCCTTCTACACAAAAAAATATCCAATTATCAGGTAACAGAAATAGTTAGGGATAATATAAGAGATGTACAGGCAGTTAAAATTGTTAGAGGGAGAGGGTTGATAGAAGCAAGAAAGACAGTAATAGACAAATAGAAAGACAGAAAGAGTTCGACATTACACTAAAGACAGGTAGAGAGTCAATCAGGCATTAGAGAGATTGAGGAGAGAAAAGACGGAGATACAGAGACGGAGGAAGCAAGAGAGATAACAAAAGATAGAGAAAAGATAGATAGATAGATAGATAGATAGATAGATAGATAGATAGATAGATAGAAAGATAGATAGATGTAAACAGATGGAAAAGAAGTGAAGATTTGCAAATAAAACAGAGAGAAAACGAATAGATAGATAGATAGATAGATATGGAAATAGACGAAGATTTGCAAATGAATAGAGAGAGAAAAGGAATAGATAGATGATGATAGATAGATAGATAGATAGATAGATGAATCAAATAGACGGAAATAGACGGAATAATTTCAAATAGAGAGAAAAAGAAGAGATAGATAGCTAGCCCTGTTGCTAGCTAGCTAGATAGATAGATAGATAGATAGATAGATAGATAGATGTAAAACAAATGGAAATAGATGAAGATTTGCAAATAGATAGATAGATAGATAGATAGATAGATAGATAAATAGATAGGTAGGTAAATAGAGGGAAATAGACGTGAAGATTTGCAAATGGATAGAGAGAGAAAAGGAATAGATATATAGATCTAAATAGACAAAAAGACGTGTATATTTCAAATAGAGAAAAAAAAAGACAGAGATAGATAGATAGATAGATAGATAGATAGATAGATAGATAGATAGATCTAAACAGAAGGAAATAGACGTGAATAATTTCAAATAGAGAGAAAAAAAAGGAAGAGATAGATAGATAGATAGATAGATAGATAGATAGATAGATAGATAGATAGATAGATAGATAGATAGATAGATAGATAGATAGATATGTGTAAACAGATGGAAATAGATGTGAAGATTTGCAAATGAATAGAGAGAAAAAAAGAACATAGATAGATAGATAGATAGATAGATAGATCTAAATAAGGAGATAGACGTGAATAATTTCAAATAGAGAGAAAAAAGGAAGAGATAGATAGATAGATAGATAGATAGATAGATAAAGAACAGACTAAGATAGATGTAATTGATAACTAAAAATTAGATAGGATGAATATAAGAAAAACATAAAATATTAACATGTATAGCACCTATATCTTTTTTGATAGTCATCATTTAGATAGGAGGTTACCCAATGAGTCACTCTACTCCCGTTGCATTAATATGTCCTGTGTGTATGAAATTCTCAAACCAGCTTTCCTCATATGTCTGAACATGGAAACTACTTTAAAAAAAAAATCGGCATTTTCGCCATCTACACAAAATATCCAATTATCAGGTAACAGAAATAGTTAGGGATAATATAAGAGATGTGCAGGCAGTTCAATTGTTAGAGGGAACGAGAAGCAAGAGGAATAGACAAATAGAAAGAGAAAGAGTTCGACAGATAGATAAAGACAGGTAGAGAGTCAATCAGGCATTAAAGAGATTGAGGAGAGAAAAAATGAATACAGAGACGGAGGAAGCAAGAGATGTAACAAAAGATAGATAGATAGATAGATAGATAGATAGAGATAGATAGATAGATAGATAGATAAATAGATAGATAGATGTAAACAGATGGAAATAGAAGTGAAGATTTGCAAATGGGTACAGAGAGAGAAAACGAATAGATAGATAGATAGATAGATATGGAAATAATAAGATTTGCAAATGAAAGAGAGAAAAGGAATAGATAGATAGATAGATAGATAGATAGATAGATAGATAGATAGATAGAGATAGATAGATAGATCTAAATAGACGGAAATAGACGTGAATAATTTCAAATAGATAAAAAGATAGATAGATAGATGTAAACTAGATAGATAGAAATAGATAGATAGATAGATAGATGTAAACAAATGGAAATAGATGAAGATTTGCAAATAGATAGATAGATAGATAGATAGATAGATAGATAGGTAGGTGTAAAATAGGGAAATAGACGTGAAGATTTGCAAATGGATAGAGAGAGAAAAGGAATAGATATATAGATCTAAATAGACGTAAATAGACGTGTATAATTTCAAATAGAGAGAAAAAAGAAGACATAGATAGATAGATAGATAGATAGATAGATAGATAGATAGATAGATAGATCTAAATAGAAGGAAATAGACGTGAATAATTTCAAATAGAGAGAAAAAAAAGGAAGAGATAGATAGATAGATAGATAGATAGATAGATAGATAGATAGATAGATATGTGTAAACAGATGGAAATAGATGTGAAGATTTGCAAATGAATAGAGAGAAAAAAGGAGAACATAGATAGATAGATAGATAGATAGATAGATAGATAGATAGATAGATCTAAATAGAAGGAGATAGACGTGAATAATTTCAAATAGAGAGAAAAAAAAGGAAGAGATAGATAGATAGATAGATAGATAGATAGATAAAGAACAGACTAAGATAGATGTACCGATAACTAAAAATTAGATAGGATGAATATAAGAAAAACATAAAACATTAACATGTAATAGCACCTATCTTCTTTTTGATGGCCCGTCATCATTTCACACCCTTTTAGGCAGGTTACCCAATGAGTCACTCTACTCCCGTTGCATTAAGTATGTCCTGTGTGTATGAAATTCTCTAAACCCGCTTTCCTCATATGTCTGAACATGGAAACTACTTTAAAAAAAAAATCGGCATTTTCGCCATCTACACAAAATATCCAATTATCAGGTAACAGAAATAGTTAGGGATAATATAAGAGATGTGCAGGCAGTTCAATTGTTAGAGGGAGAGGGTTGGTGAGAAGCAAGAAAGACAGGAATAGACAAATAGAAAGACAGAAAGAGTTCGACACATTACACTAAAGACAGGTAGAGAGTCAATCAGGCATTAAGAGAGATTGAGTGAGAGAAAAAGACGGAGATACAGAGACGGAGGAAGCAAGAGAGATGTAACAAAAGAGTGAGAGAAAAGATAGATAGATAGATAGATAGATAGATAGATAGATAGATAGATAGATAGATAGATGTAAACTGATGGAAATAGAAGTGAAGATTTGCAAATGGGTACAGAGAGAAAACGAATAGATAGATAGATAGATAGATAGATAGATATGGAAATAGACGTGAAGATTTGCAAATGAATAGAGAGAGAAAAGGAATAGATAGATAGATAGATAGATAGATAGATAGATAGATAGATAGATAGATCTAAATAGACGGAAATAGACGTGAATAATTTCAAATAGAGAGAAAAAAGGAAGAGATAGATAGCTAGATAGATAGATATATGTAAACAAATGGAAATAGATGTGAAGATTTGCAAATAGATAGATAGATAGATAGATAGATAGATAGATAGATAGATAGATAGATAGGTAGGTAGGTGTAAATAGAGGGAAATAGACGTGAAGATTTGCAAATGAATAGATAGAAAAAAGGAATAGATAGATAGATAGATGTAAACAGATGGAAATAGACGTGAAGATTTGCAAATGGATAGAGAGAGAAAAAGAATAGATCGATCTAAATAGACGTAAATAGACGTGTATAATTTCAAATAGAGAGAAAAAAGAAGAGATAGATAGATAGATAGATAGATAGATAGATAGATAGATAGATAGATAGATAGAAATAGATGTGAAGATTTGCAAATGGATAGAGAGAGAAAAGGAATAGATAGATAGATAGATAGATAGATAGATCTAAATAGAAGGAAATAGACGTGAATAATTTCAAATAGAGAGAAAAAAAAGGAAGAGATAGATAGATAGATAGATAGATAGATAGATAGATAGATAGATAGATATGTGTAAACAGATGGAAATAGATGTGAAGATTTGCAAATGGATAGAGAGAGAAAAGGAATAGATAGATCTAAACAGACGGGAATAGACGTGTATAATTTCAAATAGAGAGAAAAAAGAAGAGATAGATAGATAGATAGATAGATAGATAGATAGATAGATAGATAGATAGAAAAATATGAACTTCTTCCCAATAAAACATCAACTAATGTAACAACACCTATCTTCTTTTTAACGCTCTGTCATCAATTCACATTTTTTTTTATATATGTTACACGTTATTTCACTCTACTCTTTGTAAGTATGTCCTCTGGCTGTTAAATTCTCTAAGACTTCTTTACTCATTACATGTCGTAGAAATGTCAACTGCTTCTTCCTGACTGCGGGTATAATTGTTCTTTTATTATTCGCTAAAGAAAAAAAAATCACATTGATCCCATGTTCAGGTCTCGTTTTTTTTTTTCGGCATCTGTTAAACCAAATATCTGTCGATTCAAGTCTCTTCTCCATCTGCCAGGAAGTTTCCAGAATTCACTGCCATACGGGAGGACAGATATGACATACATATCACGAAACCTTTCTTGATTTCTATCAAAATTTCCTTAAATCGTAATATCTCGCTTAATTTAAGGAAGACACTTCGATATTCCAATAACTTTTTTCGGATTCTGCCTTTTAATTTACTCTCGTCTGTTCATACAGAAATCTCTGCGTCTCTTTTCCGTGCCCTCCACGGGTTAAATAGCAGAATAGACTTGGTTATATAGCCTTGGTTGGCAACCAGTCTACCATAGAAAATAACGGCAGCACATTCCGGGAATTCTACTGTCAAATCAATAATAAACTACCCAGATTGTTTAATTTTTCTATTTGTTTGATAGAATCAAACTGAGTCCCTCAGTTGAAGGTTTGGATGACAATCACACAATGTGTTTTCTTACAATCAACAGTTATTTTTTATCTGTTTATATTTCTGAGATGAGATATTATGTACACTATTTATATTATTCGGACTATTGTCCTCATCTTTGTCGCCATATTTATTACAACGTTTCGGCCGTTGTACGCTCCGGCCTTCTTCAGGTGGTTGGAATGTCGAACTGAACCCTTTATTTCGCTCACTGGGGTAGACTGTTCTAGTTCCACGTGCCATGTTTAATGGATGTCAGTTATCATCTCCTGTTAATACCCTTCTCCAAGGTCTCCACTGCCTTAACCGGGTATTGAACTCATACTTTTGTCCTTGAGGACACATGGCACAGTGGATAAAGACGTTGGTTAGATCCATCGACCCGTGAATATCCGATTCTGCAGACCTTCCTTATGTGCTCCAGAAACTTCGGCTGCCTCTTCCTGATGTTAAATATGCTCTTTGTTTGCATCCTATATAAGACCTCATCTTTGCTCAGACGCTCGGTCCATGATATACAATCCATTTTTTATCTGTATTTGATCCCAGCTAATCTTTTCGGAACAAGGAAACTACATCAAAGACAACATCATTCTATCCATCTATACAAAACCAAAAACTCCTCTTATCAGTTTACTCCTGGAGAAACAGAAAAATATTCCTTTCCCAAAATACAACCATGACTACCTCATTACATGTGCAGTAATATTCAAACAACACGAAAATCGCAATAACGACAAAGCTAAATTAATTGGCAACATAATACACAGTAAAACATTAATTCTTTTGGGATGTCATCGAACACACGTTGCCAGTTTTGTGTTGCCAACGAATACTCCTTGTCATCTTTGTAATGCTCGTTGTAGTAGAGACTTTGTAATCGCAGATACAACTATAGTAGGCCTTTGAAAAATACTGGTGTCAGATGCTTTCGAATATTACTGGCACTAATAGTACTTGCTCGATAATACTCGTTCGAAAAGTAATCCGTATAGTGATCTGAATAGAAAAATTGTACAGTGAATAAAGTAGAGAATAGCGGCCCATATAGTAATAGAGGATAGAGTAGAAACAGCGATCCGTATAGTATAGAGGATAGACTAGCAATAGCGATCTAAATAGTAATAGAGGATAGACTAGAAATGAGGAGACTGAAATATGTCGGAAATAGATATGAATAGACTGAAGATAAATATGAAGAGACTAATATATATATATATATATATATATATATATATATATATATATATATATATATATAATTTTATTATGAGAGTTTTGTGATGTCACGGAACGCTCGTTACCACTTTTTTGATGCCAACGAATACTCGTTGTCACTATTGTAATGCTTGTTGCAGTAGAGTCTTTGTAATCGCAGATAGAACTAAAGTACGCCGTTGAACAATACTGGTGTCAGACGCCTTCGAATATCACTCGCACTATTAGTACTTAATCGATAATACTCGCTCCAAAAAGTAACGACCGAATAGAGAAATAGTCTAGTGAATAGTATAGAGAATAGTGATCTGAATAGTAATAGAGGACAGAATAGAAATGGTGACCCGTACTGTAATAGAGGATAGACTAGAAATAGAGATCCTTTAGACGTCACGCGACTTCATACTTATGCATTTCCTCTATGGTGACGTGGTCTACTTAATTCCACAATGGGATCGCCTGTCTTTGCTCACTGACGATCAATGTTCCAACTCAAGTGTCGGCAGCGACAATTTATTCCTATATAACACATTCCGACTCCAAATCTGAAAGCTTGCTACAAATGTTATCATAAAAAGAAATATGTTAGATTGATAAACGTTTCCTATTTATTATTTATCTTATCATAATAAACTCTTCTACGCAGTTACACTTCATTGAGAGAGAAGGTAAATGATATCAAATCTGTAAGAGGAAAAGAAAAACATATCAGATCATATCAGCTAACTAGATTTTGTGTCACGATAAAATCATGGTAGAGAAGGCAACAGCAAAGGGCGATCATAAAATGCACAAATGAGTTTAATTCTCACTGAGTGCCTCTATCTTTCGGCCTTGTGCTATATCTAAACTATGCTTAGAAAATTACCATAGCAAAGCACAAATGGTATTTCTAGTACATATAATGAGGAAATATGGTCTGGAGAATTTGATACTCACAAAACAATATTTACTACCCCCCCCCTCCAACGAAGGTAGATGTGGCACAAGTCTGAGTTTAACGTGGGTCATCCGAGCCTGTAGGTTCGGCCAAAAATTCCCCGTAGAACCCGCATAAACGGGATCGGGTTGGTCAACCTCCTCGAAAAAGACTCTGCCCTTCGGCATAGCCTTGACCGGCTTCCTCTCTGCTCAGAGGAAGAGTGTTCGACCAGCAAGCCGAAAAGATTTCACGCTAGACATATTGAAAAGCAAGAGCGACATAGGGAGACTGTGAACAAGGTTCTGTAAACGGGTGGTAGAACTAGAAGGGGAGATAGAAAAATGGTAAAACTAATTTAGTGCTACAGACGATAGGAAGTCGTGGAGAATCATTATTGCCTATGTTCTGAAGTTACTCAGCACATAGAAGAAAAACATTTATCTGTGTGTACATATGCGGTTCTTGTGTGTGTGTGTGTGTGTGCACATAGAAAACATTAAATGCTACCATTTTTGTTGAAAAATACAGTGACTGTGTTCTGATTACTAAGTACGTATTTGTATTTACGAATTATGGTGGTTCGCATGGTCTCAATTCATATTTATCAGTAGAGATATAGTTGGAAAGCAAACAGCATTTATATAGTGAACAAGAGTGTTATTTCGTTGCCTCTTATGACGGAAAAATAAGTCTAAGAACCATTTGCAATGAGGTAGGAAATGAACTGGGGAAGAGGTAGCCAAAAAAGAAAAAGAGCGAATGAGAAAAATAAATCTAAGAACCATTTGCAATGAGGTAGGAAATGAACTGGGGAAGAGGTAGCCAAAAAAGAAAAAGAGCGAATGAGAAAAAGAGAGAGAGAGTGCGAATGAGAGAGAGAGAGTGCGAATGAGAGAGAGAGAGTGCGAATGAGAGAGATAGAGAGAGAGAGAGAGAGAGAAAGAAAAGGTATTGCGACTGAAACATTGAAAGAGGCTGTTTACTTTATTCAACACTATGAACGAATGTTTCAGTTCAACGTTGTGTAAATAACTCGAAAAAAAATCCAGGATTGAAAAAAAAAAAAAAAAAAAAAAAAGAAACAACCTATTGTTCAAATATCACGAACTGGAACGGTATGTCCGAATTTTTTTTACCTCGGGTGATGGGTGATCTTTGAAGAGAAAGAGAGTTTTGCTGATGTAAACAGTTATTTTTTCTGTGCTGTCAGCGTTAGGTGCACTTTCTTAATTAAAAGAATGACAATAAAATAAGAAAAAGAGTAGGGTACAGAAATAAAAAATACTACGTTTCAAAATGGAGAATCTGAATGCTTCGTCTTCAGAGATGAAAAATTCAAAGGATAACTATATTAATATCAAGGACATTTTCTGTGTAATGGACATGTGGTTCTTTTTGTGTGCGAATAAAAGAGACATAATGCTGCATAAACAAGAAAAGGGGATTGGAAAATTCACGAAGATGAACACAAGAATGTAAAAGAAAAAAACAAGGCAAGAGAACACATGTGAAAATAGGAGACAATACAGTGAGTGAGAAAGGACCAAAATGGAGGAAACGGTTTTGACATTGGGGGAGATAACTGCGAAAGAACAAAATAAAGAAAAGTCGGGAAATAAAAGAAGAAGAAAAAAAAACATTACATGATGGGAAAAGATGTAAATGAGGAAAAGAGAATGATCTAAAATATTAAAAATAGAACTGAAACATGACAAAAGAAATGAGAATTAGAGGAACGGGTTAAAGATAATAAAAATGTAAGTGAAAGAATGAACATTACACTAAAAGAGAAGAAAAGTGGCAGTAGAAAGAGAGAAAAAAAGAAAGAGAAGTAGGAGGAAAGATAAAAGAAAGAAAGAAGAAAGAAATAAAAAAGAAAACGGACAAAGAAAGAAAGAGAAGTAGAAAGAAAGAAAAAAGAAAAAGAAAGATAAGTTTAAAGAAGATAAGTGAATGAGAACTGACAGGGGAAGACAAGAAGAACAAAGAAAAAATACAATAAAAAAAAAGAAAGAAAGAAAGAACGAATACAAGAAAGAAAGAATACAAGAAAGAAAGAATACAAGAAAGAAAGGATACAAGAAAGAAACAAAGAAAAAATATAAAGGAAAAAAGACATAATGAAAAAGAAAGAGAGAAAAAGGAAAAAGAAAGAAGAAAGAAACGCTTAAAGGAATTAAGAGATTGAGAATTAAGAGGAGAAAGAAAAGTAGAATAAATAAAGAAAGAAAGATAGAAAGAAAGAATAAAAGAAAGAAGAAGAAAGAATTTAAAAGGTAGAAAGGAAAGAAAGAAAGCAAGAGAGATATATGTTGTTGTTTTTTGCTTTTGTTTATCGACATACCAACCTATATGGATTATTTCCTGACGAAATATAATTTTTTATTAATTTTTGCAGTTATTAATGCTTTCAGATATACGTGTTAGTAATTGACCCATAACTTTGCGGAGAAGAAATAGATTCATACCTTCCCCAAGAGTAATTGCTTGTCAGTAAATATAATGAACCCAGCGGGAATTAGAACTCTACTTTTCGATCAACAATTCCGAGCGATTATCCATTACACCACCGGCACATCCATGCTTACAAAACCCTGTATTTCAAGCAATCATGCAATTAGGCACTGACGTTGCTTAACTTCGCTGATCGCACGGGAACAGGGGTGATGTGGACGTAAAACAGACACAAATAAAAAAAAAACTACGAAAATAAGTAAGCGAATGAGTACTGACTGAAGAAAAACAAGAAAATAAGAAAAAAGAAAATTGACAAGATAAAGTGAATTAGACAGAAAGAAAAAGGAAAATAAACGATAGGATAAAGACAATTAGAAAGAAAGAAAGAAAGAAAGAAAGAAAGAAAGAAAGAAAGAAAGAAAGAAATATAAGTGAAAGAGAAATGACAGGATAAAGAAAATAAACTTGAAAGAAGAAATAAATAAAAAGTAAACGGACAAAGAAAGAATGAGAAGTAGAAAGAAAGAAAAAAGAAAAAGAAAGATAAGTTTAAATTCATCTTTAATTTTAAATGAGAAATGAGTGGGGAAAGGAAAATAGAAGAAAGAAAGAAAGAAAGAAAGAAAGAAAGAAAGAAAGAAAGAAAGAAAGAAAATAAATAAATAAATGACAGGATAAAGAAAATTAGAAAGAGAATAAGAAAGAAACAACATAAGTAAATGAATTTGAATTGACAGGAAAGAAAGAAAGAAAGAAAGAAAGAAAGAAAGAAAGAAAGAAAGAAAGAAAGAAAATAAGCAGGTGACATGATAAAAAAAATAGAAAAAAAGACGTAAAGAAAATAAGTGAATAATAATTGACGGGAAATTTAGAAATAAATAAAATAAGAGAATGAGAATTGACAAAATAGAGAAAATTGAAACGAAAAAAAAGTAAAATGAATGGAAGAAAGAAAAAATAAGTAAATGACAGGATAAAGACCATTAGAAAGAAAGTAAGAAAGACAGAAGAAGATAAGTGAATGAGAATTGACATGATAAAGAAAATTAGAAAAAAAAGAACATCAGAGAATGAGAATCGACAGTATAAAGAAAATTAAAACGAAAGAAAGAAAGAAAATTAGAAAGAAATAAAAAAAGTAAAACGTATGCTCGCGCGCACGCAAACACAGAAATACACAGACACAGACACACACAAACACACACAAACACACACACACACACACAAACACATACACACACACACACACATATATATATATATATATATATATATATATATATAGAGAGAGAGAGAGAGAGAGAGAGAGGAATAATTACAACCATATACACTTAAAATGAATAAAAAGTGCATAAGTAGCCAAAAATAATGTGTGCGTAAACTCATCAAAACAACAACAATGTACAATAATCCCTACAAGAAAACCTAAACGAGAAAACCAATCCAGAAAAAAAAAAGCGAACAAATTCTAAAACTAAACAGACGCAAAACATGAACGTGATTAATAGTTTCACGCGAAAAGCGATCCTCGGCCAGTTGGAAATATGACACTGCACAGAAAAATTATTATCCACAGTGTTCTGTCATTGCGCAAGAGTAACCATCTTTAAGCCGTTTTTATCATGCACACAATGGCTATACTCAAGCGAGACGTAATATTTTCACCTTTCCCATCTCTCATTTATTCTGGCTCAATCGGCTTTGAAGACAAACTTTCCCATATTTTTAATCCTTCCTAAAACCTTGTATACGCTTTCCGCCCACATTATCAGCTGTATTTGTTACATATGACGTTATTTCGAGAATAAAACTTCGTATATCTCACACCAAATTGCTTATTATTGCTGTTAAAGTAAAAAGTTATAAAAGTAAAAACTGCTACACTATTTACATTATTCGGACTATTGTCCTCATCTATGTTACCATATTTATTTCAACGTTTCGGCCGTTGTACGCTCCGGCTTTCTTCAGGTGGTTGCCATGTGCCATTAAGGACACATGGCACTGTGGATAAAGGCGTTGGTTAGATCCAGTGACTGGACCCAAAGAGTTGTGAGTTCAATACCTGGTTAAGATAGTGGAGAACTCGGAGAGATGAATTAACAGGAGATAACTATTACTGACATCCATTAGACATAGCACGTGGAAATATAACAACCTACCCCAGCGACCAGGATAAAAGGTTCAGTTCGACATTCCAACCATATGATGAATATGGCAGCAATAATCTAAATAGTGTACATAATAGCTCATCTCAGAAATATAGACTATAAAAACTGCTACTTAATAATGTGGATGGCCTGCATTAACCTGTACTAGGTCTATGGCTACTCGAGGTTGAGGGTTGCATCAAAATGCAGTTTATACGGATAAGACGGGAAGATAACTTTTGGCCTTAGACTTGAAAAGGTTAAGATTGTAGAAATCGGGGAAACGTCCTCTTGGGAGTCGGTTCCACAGAGCTGGAAGAAGCTGTTCGAGTGGAACTTACTTCTCACCGATGGAATACGAAAGGAATGTTCGTGGTTTGCTAAAATGTAACTGACATGGTAGGTCCTAGCCGTAAAGTTTAGGACTGGCGAAACTAAGAAATGTAGTTCATCCGAGCACTTTCTATGGAAGTAACAGTAGAGCAGTGAGAGGTTTGCCCCATCCCACCAGTGAGAGAGACGTTGGAGGGTAGAAATTAATTTGTCATCCATAATGACTCGGAATCGTTTTTGAGTCTGGAAAGTGGGCAGCTCAACAGTACACCGTTCTCGGCCTGATCTGGCTCTTGTAAAAGTACTGGATGACATGAAAAGTCAAGTACTTAATATAGCCCTGTAGAGACGACCATTTTTCCTACAACTTTAACGATGGATCGTATATACCAATTCCATTTGATATCAGGTGTAAGTTTAATGTTCAATAGTTTCTCGGGGTACGGAGCCTTCCGCAGAGAACAAGCGTTTATCAGGATTGGTGGTAGTTCGGTGTCCAATCGGCGATGATAGAATGTAACTAGTTTGGTTTTCGAGACACAATGTAACCAGCTAATCTTTCTCTCACTGTGAAGTTAGTGCTAGATCGGATGAGAGATCTGAGGCCAATCTCATTAAGAATTTTAGATATACACCCGTATATCGTCGTATCATGGACATATATATTTACAAATGAACTGAGAATATTCTTAGACAGAATATTTATGTAAATCATAAGGATTATTGTCCGTGATGTGACCCCCTAGGGAACTCCTGCGTTGGCCGCCAGGACACCAGATAACTGGCCGTTAATAACTACTATTAGGAACCAACCTGTCAGGAAGGACTTTTTAATTAGAGGACCCTTCCAGTGATTCCAAAGCGGGAGAGTTTGAGTAACAAATCTTTTGTATTAAAACCTTGTCTAACGTTTTCGAAATATATAATGCTATGGCCCGCGAGTTGTGTTTGTCGACAAGATTCTGTGAGTAATGTTACTCAGGGCATCAGCAGTGGATCGTATCGATCGAAACCCGTACTGCACGTCGCTCAAGTGCTTGTTGATTGAAAGACGTGGATTGTTTTTTACAAAGTTTTGGAGTCATTGGGTGTGTGTAACTGTCCATAAATCCGTTGCGTTTGTTGGGAATGGACGCCGGAAGTATAGTGTTCCCGTTTGTTGTGACCTACAACAGGTCCTCATGTAACAATTATGCAAAGTAATTAGAATTTGAACTGAGTCTTCCCAGAAAGACTTGTGTGTTACCCGCGCAAGTTAAGGTTTTTCTTTATTGCGCCATCAACACACAGTGGGTATCAGCATGGCTGACAGCTTATTTCCGAAGATAGCTTATCTACTAGAATCGCTAGGAACAGTTTGTTGCAGTTTTCTGATCAGGCACAATTGTATTTGTTCAACGTTCACAGAGCAGTGTTTCTATTGTCCGAGTCTCACTCCTCGTCGTTCTCGGATAGGAGTAAACGCATATCGCATATTACTTATTTAAGGGGTTGGGTTTCCGGTTCCTTCTAAAGTCTTCTTTTTCTTTCAATTCCAGTAGCTCCTTGAGTCTTAGTGGCATTATCGCCTTGCTTGAGGTGAGTTGATTAAAAAGAAAGGCATATATGCTCAGAGGACATAAATTATAGTTTTGCGGATAGAGCGCATATCACCAGGTTAATAAGACGTACCGTCGAACCATCAGTCACGATGACTTGTTACTTCTTACTAACAGATCCGTTCAGTTTAGTTTACTCGGTTTCATTAACTGAAAAAAATCGGGTTAATCCAGGTGATGATCTCAGATTCATCCCAACGGTAGAATCCATTGGGATCATCTCTTAAGAAATTACCTTTTTGGCAAATCGAACAGTGTACGATTCGAACCAGTGTCTGAGGGTAAGATTCGAAGAATCGTCTCATGGTCGGGACGCTAACGGTCGGCATAAACGTTTGCAAATAGTATATTGCAAAATCTGATAATATCAGATTCCACGACTGAGTGAATAAGTACTATTCTGGAGAATATATATATATATATATATATATATATATATATATATATATATATATAATTGTGTATTTGGGCAGCAATCCCGCTTTTATAAATGTTTCATTAAATACAACAGACAAGGTAGAGTGATTAAGATTTTCATTTATTTTTAATAAGAATTAATTTTTTTTTTACTTATTAATAATATAGACATGCTTCATCAACGTGTCAAGTGAGGGCTGCGAAGCCACTCGACAACGTGTGGAAGTATTTGAAATGGTCCGCAAGTCAATGATCCGACGGTTGAATGCATGTGTAGAAGAACATTTGTTATGAGTTGTTGTGTTGAGGTATAATGATAGGCCTTTTGGGCATATGTTTATATTGACGTTTTGGCCATGTATTTTGATATCAAGAACCCAACCTCAAGTTTGTAAAAGTAATTTTGCATTGGATCTTGGATGCACATTTAACAACATCTACCCTAGCCATTAAACTTAACGACTCAAAAATGAACGGTTTGTCCTTTTGGCGTGAGAAACCCCACCCCAATTTTGTAAAACTATTTTTGATACATTCTGTGTATACACACACACACACACACACACACACACACACACATATATATATATATATATATATATATATATGATATTTATACATATATATACACGCATATAAATGTATATATATAAATATATATATAAATATATATATACATATATATATACACACACACATATATATATATATATATATATTTATATATATTTATATATATATTTTATATATATTTATATATATATATTTTAAGACATTTTTTATTATGTTTTTACATTCTTTTTATAGATATAAGTATTTAAGTAAATGCTCTGTTTTATAATAAACAGTATTAAACAACATTTATCGACCTGAATGTCCGAGAAATTTTCACAGAAAATATTCGTTCTCCGAATATTCAACCTGGCTAACCGAACGCACCTCTGTAGCCAAATTGGTTAAGACACGTCAAGCTAAATGACGGTTCCGTATAAGATACAGGTTCGAATCCTGTCGGAGGACGAATATTTTCTGTGAAAATTTCAGGCCGGTAAATGTTGTTTAATACTGTTTATTATAAACAGAGCATTTACTTAAATATTTGTATGTATAAAAAATATATATGTAAACTTAATAATAAAAAAATGTCTTAAAATAATTGTCGGACTTTGTCCATTTCATAATATATATTTCGTAATTTTATTTTATTATTTTTAACGGAAAATTTAATATATATGTATGTGTGTGTGTGCGTGTGTGTGTATATAACTACAAAAGGATGACTGATGCACTTTATCAAGACGAATGTAAAT